TTACAGTGCGGAGGCACCAACACAAAGGCCCATTTTTTCCACACCTGTGTGACAGGTATATATTAATTTGAATTTTTAGAGCAGGGTCCAACCCTGCACTCGTCAAAAAAAACTCTGAAGGGTTACGGTGTGAAGGCACCGCCAACACTAACACCCAATGTTAAAGCACCTGTTGTTACTTTGATCCAACGTCTCCAAAACAGGCACCAGAATGTATTCTCGTATTTTCGAGTGTCCTAAAATGTGGCCTCCTCATACAGGCTGCCTCCACCAGCAGTTGTTTAAAAGATTTAGTGAAGCTATTAATGTATGTATGTATGAACATTTATGTTTGATGTTATGTTTCTTTTGGAAAATTGTTAAAAACCAATAAAATACTTTGAAAAGTAAAAAAAAAGATTTAGTGAAAACCAATTACTGGCAATTTAAATGTCTTTTTGTTTTCTTTATAAATGCCACTTTTTGCTGCAAAGGGTTCTATGCATTGTACAGATGCACCAATTTACAGGCAGTTTAAGGGGACCCCCCAGGCACCATATTTAACCCCTTCATGACTGAGCTTGTTTTTCGTTTCTGTTCGTAAATGACTGACGCACTTTTTACATTTTTGCTGTGTGATTCTTCCATGGCAGTAATATACTTTCTTACAAAGTGTACACACACATATAATATATTGTTTTTTAGAGGACAGATAGCACTATATATTTATATCACACATGTGTACCTAACGCCTCACTTAGGACAAATAAAATATAAAAAAAGAGGAACAAACGGAAAGAAAACACCTTTTCCCCAGTTTTGAATTGTAGTATTTTTTACAAAAAACAGCTAAAAAAAAAATAAATTCATTTATTTGTCCTTTATTTGGAAAAAACTCACATCCCTAGGATTTTAGACATTTTTCTGTACTACTCGGCCTATAACTAAAACCTAACATTTTAATCTTTTTTTCTTCTAAAAGCTAAATCTAAAAGTGGTCACCTGGCATACAATATCACCGTCACTAAGTGACAGCGACATACTTTGAACATCGCTGTCATGAGGGGGTTAAAAAAA